ATAAATTATATTATGTTATATCATATTATTATATTACTATAATTATATTATATTATAATATTTTTATTATATAATATATTGTAATTATATTATAATATTAAAGGGTAATTATGAAAAAAATGAAGAAAAAAGCTTGAAATAACTATTATTCTCATGTGATGAAGGAATGATGATTCACTCAAAATGGATAAATGACCATTATTTTCTTATAAATCCAACTAAATATCATACTTGCATTTTATTCAATTCATATTATAATATTTTTATTATATAATATATTGTAATTATATTATAATATTAAAGGGTAATTATGAAAAAAATGAAGAAAAAAGCTTGAAATAACTATTATTCTCATGTGATGAAGGAATGATGATTCACTCAAAATGGATAAATGACCATTATTTTCTTATAAATCCAACTAAATATCATACTTGCATTTTATTCAATTCTATTCATTTCTTTTCCACCTAACCAAACGCTCCCTGAAGGTAATCGATAATCGGACCAACGCGGTGGAAGTGACTCGAACTCATACTTCTTGCAAGTAAATGAGCACCCAACTAACCTAGATGAGGTACGTTGGCGAATGATGATTTATTGTGGTGTTCATATTACGTTCTTGGTGTGTTATAGAAGACGGATGCCTCTAGTTTTTATTTTTGCACTTGCTTACTTAGAGCATCTCTAATGTAATGTTATAATTAATGTGTCAATTGTAAATTTAACATTTTAGTGTAACAAATACTTTCTAATGCAATGTTATTTGTTGTGTTAAATTTCTCATATGCTATATTTGGTGGTAAATTTCTCACTAAGTATATCATATGAAAAATTTGATATTTGATTATTATTAGTTGAAATGTATATTTTTTCCATGTAATCAATGCAACTTTTATATTTTTTAATTATTTTAAAAATAAATGTTTATTTTTACAAAAACATAATATACTTTTAAGATGTTTTCAAATAGCAGAAGGCACCAAAACGATATTGTAGCTTTCTTTAATAATCAACACATGGAAGGACGAAATTTGTACACGATGATAGATTGGAGTTAATTTTGAAACTTTTTGAATGTCTGGAATCAAAATGGAATTCAATGTAAAGTTTAAGGACCATATTTTAGTTTAATCCTAATTTGATCTAAGGATTAATCTCATGCAAACGTAGAGGCATTTTAAGTTTTCTCCTTGAACTTTAAAATTTTTACTTTATCCTTTAATTTTGGATTAATCCACTTATCTTTTGTTAGAATTTTTGTTAAAAATAGACAGAAAAAAGATGGTTAAGTGCAGTGATGCTGTCTTTTTCTATTTATTTTTAACAAAAATCTAATAGTAAGACCACATGAGCGCATCACTCACATTTTTTAGTGTGTTTTTAACTGCAATTTTAATAAAAATTATTAAATCAAACTAACTTTAAATTTAAGAAGCAAAATAAGAATTTTTAAAATTTCAAACGATAGGAGAATGATGATAAAATTTGAGTGGTGCTGATTATTCTCCCCCTAATTCAATATGGCATGTTAAAATTACACATGCTCATGGGGTATTTTTTTTTTTCCCCTTTTTATACATTCCCAGAAAACTTTTGTTCTTTCTTTAATCAAATTACAAAATTATTGAAGTTTTTTTCTTTTGCTTGATTGAAAGTCATTTTTGCTGACGACATTTATATAGTATACCCTCGTTGATTTTTGAGAAATAAAAAATTTATATAAGGTCCATTTAATTCATTAATTTAAATTTTTAATTTAAATTGAGATACAACTATATGTGAAAGTTTTTTATTATAATTAAAAAATTAAATGTAATTATTTTTAAGTTTTTTTTATTATAATAAAATTTAAATTTTAAACTCAAATCATTAAAAATAAATGAGACTAATGAGACGTTTGGTTCATGGATTATAATCATGTGATTAGAATCATTTTCAATTTACGTATATTTTTTTATAAGAGAAAATACTGTAAGAAATTATAAATCATAATTCAAATTATAGTTTGAATCATTCAACCAAACATCCCTAACTTTCCAAACACATTCAAATCTCTTTAGTCCAAAAAAAAGAAAAAAAAAATTGTCAAGGAGACTAACTCAGAGTAATTTCCGCACCAACTCCAGACACGTACCGCCAACAACCTTTTTCACTCATAAGTTTTTTCCCATCTTTGCCACACCCAACAACCCTTCTCTCTGTCTATTTATAGTATGCGTGTAGCCACATTTGTTTAGCATTTTTCACATCAATGTCCTGAGACACAACAATCTCTCTCTCTCTCTCTCTCTCTCTTCTCCCTCCTTGTTAAACCCTCTTCTATTTCTTCTCCTCTTTTTCTCACAATGGCGGCAACAACTTTTACTCCACATCCGTCATGTCTGTTGGCACCCCGATCGAATTTAAATAGTTTTAGAAAAAACCAGTTGGGATTTGAGCCTAGAATCGAAGCAAATCCCATCAAACGGAGAGGATTTGGGTTTTCCGTCGGTGGTGTTGGGAAAATTAGCAGAGAAAGAGAAAGAGAGGCTTTGCAGAGGAGATTGGAGGTGAGATGTACGGCGGAGGGAATAGAGAGGGGAATGCTGGTGGGGAGGAAATCAGGAGGAGGAGGTGGAGGAGAAGTGGAGGTAAAAGTCAAAGTCAACGTTCCGGAGAGGATGAAGGTGGTGGCTATGGTGGCTTGTGTTATGTGTTTGTGTAATGCTGACAGAGTCGTCATGTCTGTTGCTGTCGTCCCATTAGCTGCCAAGCTTGGCTGGTCCAGCTCTTTCCTAGGCATCGTTCAGGTACTCTGCTAAGAACCAACTTGCAAACAAGCAATTCTCTCTCTCTCTCTTCTTGATTTTGATTTCAATTTGGATTAATCTCGTTGACGCCCCTGAGTTTTAGAGCAATTTTCAATTTGCTCTTAAATTTTTAAAACTCCAGCTTTGCCTCCATGAATTTTAAATTAGCCCCCTCACGCTTTTTTATAAGAATTTATGCTCAAATACGATAGTAAAAGTGAGAATTAAGTATGATCACGCAGTTTTTATTTATTTGCTCTTAATAGAAATTTAAATTACAAAATTATGTGACTGCATCACATCTGTTTTTACTAGAAATTCTAATAGAAAGGATTAAGTAGGAAGAATTTAAAATTTAAAGAGTAAAATGAGAATTTTTAAAATTTAAGAACAAATGGAGAATAATCTGAAAATTTAGGGACCAGTCAGAATAATATTTTATGTGTAAATTTTTGAATAATTAGATCTTGGATTTTTGTTGCATTTGTATCTGTTGAGACTTCAGAATGTGAAAAGTACGATTCCTTATGATCTTGTTTTAAACAGATTTTTATTTTTCTCTTAGTTTTGTATATATATATATATATATATATTATATTTTTCATTCGATATGGGATTTCATCCGTAACCTCCCAAATCTAAAGCTCCAACCCATCCTACCTTATCGGTGATCGGTTTTTTTATAATCTTTTTATTTTTATTTTTAAGTGAATTTGACCGATTCTAAAATCCATAAACATAAACCAGTAAAGATAATCTTAGCGTAGAAAAAAGGTTTTTTTGTAACCTTTCAAAGGTTGCTGAATAACTTGTTTTTCTCAAAAGTTGTCACGTGTAAAAACTGTGGGGAGAATCCTTCGGTATGGTGTGAAGAAATATCCCGTGAGAAAGAATTTTTTCTAACCGTCACATTTTTATGTGTTACGTGTTATCTTAAATCGTCATATTTTTCTTAATTTTATATGTGATTCGGATTGTATTATGCTAGCGCGGTCTTTTTCTTAGTACTGTTTGACCAAAAAGAATATCACAATTAAAATTTCAACCAATCAATCGTATAGAATTGTGTAGCCATGTGTATAGTATGATTTTAAAGGATGGCATGTGAATTTTTGATTTATTAGTGTCGCATGGTTTTTGCTCTTTCTTTCTTTTAACATTTTCTTTTTTCTTACGGCATGTGGTTAGTTGTCATATTCAGGTTTTGTTGTTTTGGTTCCTTGTTAGAATAGAAGTGGTGCTTATTGAGAAAGTGCAAATGAAATTGGTAAAGAAAATTGACCATAGGAAGAAAGAAAATGGAAAGTAAGAGTAAAGGGGGTTGTTGTAATGTGAACTTGTGCGTGGTGGCAGTTGAGAATTTTAGGGTTGTCGATTCGCCGCTTCAAGTCATGAATCTGAGCTGTTGGTCCCCATGGAATTAATACTGACCCCATGACCCCACAATTCTTAAAAGAGGATATTAACTTTTCTCAAATCTTCCAACCTCCAAAAAAAAAAAAAAAAAATCACTTTTCTTGACAGTAAAGTAAAGACCAGAGCAAGCAATTCTGGTGGGACCCAGATCTCTTGGCCAGAAATTTTCCATGTGCGCGCAAAATTATTTGAGCTCCACATCTCTTGGCTAGAAATTTTCCATTTTCACTATTATGGTGTAAAACTCAAACCCAAGTTCTGATCAAATTAATGCAAGTTAGCACTTTCTACTAAATTAAGGAACTTTTTGCGGTAGGTATGAGAAAAAAGACCCTATAGCATGACAATTTAATCGGAGTTTTTAACATTGTTATATCAGATTAAGAAAAGTATGACAATTTAACAGAAATTGATATAAATCTAACGGTTCAGAAGAGTAGAATTTTCCTTAAATTAAAATGAGAAACTTGTTTCCATACAATCATAATTTGTTTTAGGTTATATCAAATATGAAATAATATTGCATGCAAAAGTAGATGCTTGCTTAATATGTACACATGAAAAGATGCATAAAATCAGATGTGATTACGCGGAACCGATTAGTTCTGGTAGCATGACAACTTTGTAAGATTGCATTACTTCCTAGCAAACCAAAATGATTTTTTTTTTTTTTACATTTTTATTTGTGTTCATCGACTCGATTTTATGCTGACAATTTAAATGTGGATTGATCCATTTTGCAGTCATCGTTTCTGTGGGGATACATATTCTCTTCGGTGATTGGAGGGGCATTAGCGGACAGATATGGAGGAAAGAGAGTGATGGCATGGGGTGTTGCTTTTTGGTCTTTGGCTACTCTCCTAACTCCATGGGCTGCCAACCACTCGACAGCGAGCCTCTTGGCTGTTCGCGCCTTCTTTGGACTCGCTGAAGGTGTAGCCATGCCCTGCATGAGCACCCTCTTGTCCAGGTAATTCTTCATTAATTGTTTCCTTAGACTATTGGAATACAACTGGCTGTTATTGAACTAGGATCCTCTGTCAAATTTTGGTATCTTATTTAGGTCCAACCAATATTGAAATGCTCATTTAAATGTCAAAAAGATAACGACCATTCATATACTAGTTGACAACATAACGAGGCACCAAAGTCATTAACAGAGTCGTCTTGACACCACTTGGCTTCCATCAATTCTCTTATGCCTAGGCACTGAAGGGGAAAAGATGTTTATCTGTATCTTACATCACAATTTGACAAGGATTTTGGGTTGTCCTGCATAAGTTGGAATTTCGAGCCTAGCTTTCTTTTTGGAAAGAATTGTACATCGATCCTTGAACCTTGAGACTTGGAGCTAGATAAATGTCTCTTTGGAGTAACTTGCCTGGCTCATGAGCCAGCCATTTTTAGTGGGGAAGATGTTTGGAATATAGTAGGGAATAAGATAGAAAGAGAATAGGAGGAGAAAGAGAGAAATAAGAATAGAAGAAGAATTAGAGAAAAGGAGAGCAAGACTTTAGAATTTAGAGAGAATAAAATGAAAAATAGAGAGGAACTCTGAATGTTCAACGCCATTAATGAAGCCTGAATTGAAATTGCAATATTTAGCCCTATTTATAGGGAAGGAAAAAAAAAGAGAAACTAACAAATAGCAAAAGCTATCCAATTAAGAGAATAGGAGAAGAAAGAGAGAAATACGAATAGAAGAAGAATTAGGGGAAAGGAGGGCAAGAGTTCAGACTTCAGAGATAGAGTAAAATGAAAAATAGAGTTGAAATCTGAATGTTCAACATCATTAATCAAGTCTGAATTGAAATTGCAATATTTAGCCCTATTTATAGGGAAGAAAAAAAGAAAAGAGAAATAACAAAAAACTATCTAAAAAGAAAAGAGAAATAACAAATAACAAAAAACTATCTAACTATCAGTAAATGGAACTTAACAAAATAGTTTTGGCCCTTGAGAAACTTAATTAAACTATGTCAAAATATTAAGAAAAATAATACTCTATTCTTGTTCCACCTCATCATGTATATGATAAGGAACCAGTGGTTTAGATAAGTAGATGTGTTACTTTGATGATTTTGCAGGTGGTTTCCAAGCCAAGAGAGAGCGAGTGCTATTGGCATTTCTATGGCAGGATTTCATCTCGGCAATGTCGTCGGGTTACTACTAACTCCAATAATGCTGTCATCAATGGGAATTTCTGGCCCATTCACTCTTTTCTCTTCTATTGGGATGCTCTGGTTGACAACATGGGCATTTAAAGTCTCAAATGATCCAAGAGAGAGCCGTTTTATTAGCCAATCAGAGCTCCGGTTAATCCAAGCCGGGAAAACTGATTCCCCAGTAAAGAGCAACAAATTCCCAACTCTATGGTTTCTTTTATCAAAGTTACCAACATGGGCTATTATTTTTGCCAATATAACCAACAATTGGGTGAGTTTTCTCTTTATTGATTGCTTGGATTACTATCAACTTCTAAAAGTTGTGATTTTAGGTTTGAATCTTCTCTTAAAGGCGGTCTATATTGCAGGGTTACTTCGTTCTTCTCTCATGGATGCCTGTTTATTTCAAGACTGTAAGTAAATGTCATCTTCTTTTCATCTTGGTTAATAGTAAACCATTTATTGCAACAGTATTTAGCTTTATAATATTCCTTCTATCTCTCTCCTCGGCAAAATACAGGTATTTAATGTGAACTTGAAGCAAGCAGCATGGTTTAGTGCTGTTCCATGGGGAACAATGGCGGTTTCTGGCTACATTGCAGGTGCAACATCAGATTACTTAATCTCGAAAGGCTACTCATTGACATTAGTTCGAAAAATCATGCAGGTAAACTCTTGGAAGTTCCATTCGTTAGTAAGAACTTACTGTCAAATTAGGTGTCCAGTGCCTGATGATATTATAGGTGTGGATTGATGGGTATATTTAATGAAGAAAAAAGTGCATAAGATAATGAAGCTACGGTGAGAAAGTGGAAGATCTCCGGTGGAGAAAAACGGACATTTTTTGGCTGAGGGCGGATCTCTTTCTTTTCTCTTTTCTAATTTTACAAAACCATTTTTTTAGACTTGATTGAGGTTTTCCTATAGACCAGATAGGTGTCTTCAAAAAGAGCAGTTAAAATATAGTTTACAATTCAGCTGATTTACACACATTTGTGTGTTTGTAATATTCACTAAGCTGACATAATAATACATGTGAATCTAACAGTCCATTGGTTTCATCGGGCCTGGAGTGGCATTGCTCTGCTTGAATTATGCAAAAACACCGGTGGTCGCTGCTGTACTCATGACAATAGCCTTAAGCTTAAGCTCTTTCAGCCAAGCTGGCTTTCTCCTCAATATGCAAGTAAGTAAACATCCAGTCATCAAAAATTCCATTTTTTTTTAAACCTAGATATGTTACTTTGATTTTCATGTATGTGCGTTCACCAACCATTTTCGCCTCGAGTTCAATAACGCTTACACATTTTCACTTTCCTTCATTTTTGATTCAGGACATTGCTCCTCAGTATGCCGGATATCTCCACGGTATGTTCTTGTAGCGTGTCTATCTGTCTCCTAAATGAGGACATTGCTTATTATGATTCATTCTTAGAACTGCGAGGCTAATTACTGTCTCAATTAACAGGGATTTCGAATTCAGCTGGAACATTAGCAGCGATAGTCAGCACCGTAGGAACTGGTTATTTCGTACAGTGGTTGGGGTCTTTTCAGGCATTCTTATCTGTCACCGCAGTTCTATATTTTGTAACAGCCATATTTTGGAACCTATTTGCTACTGGAGAGCGCGTCTTCTATGATTGAAATGGCTAACATTTGAAACCACTGAATTCGACAACAGATATCTTCTAGGATAGATAAGATAGGATGAGCATGAATTGTTCAATGGATTCGAAATTTTTGTTTATTTATTCTTTTGCGTGTGCGTGACCGTAAGTCTTGTATTTGGTCTGCGCACCAAGCAAGAACGTCAGTACCTCTACATGCTCCATCCTTGCCTTTTGTTGTTTGTCGTTTCCTCTAACTGTATATATGTTAATGTATTTGTCAAATCCAGCTTAAACGAGTAGGTATAAATTATATGTCAAATTCAGTTGTAAGAAAACATGCAGCAGTAGTATAAACTTGTTAACATAAATTCAATCCTCATTTAACTTCGCAATGATGAAATTCACATTTTTGCAGCCAAAAAGAACTTTTGTTCAAACATTTAGTATTTGTTATTTTCACACACAAACTGTAAGTTATTGAAGAAAATTTTCACCTCCCGCCATCTTTCTACGTTCAGTAATACATATGACCCTAGGACATGGATAATGAAAATGCTGAGTTACGTACTTGTTAGTTTAGGAGGCAGATCGAACTGCAAGAGAGACGGGGATGACCAGGTTGGGCGGCGACGCAACAAGATGAGTCTAATGACTAAGAAAACGATGGGGAAGAAACGGTTTTGGAATAGAAATGCTTCATTGTTTTTGGTACTACACTGTAAGCATTTGATGGAGAGAGAACCTCCATTTTTTATTGGTTGCAAAATTTTATGGATTTTGGAAGGAAATTGGTGTTTTCAATTAGAAAGAAAATTGTTTTTCTCAACTGGAAAACAGTAATCTCAAGCCCGGCTCCGTCTACATGCGACCACTGCCATTGCAATTTGACCTGGATTTTGGGGAAGAAACACCAGCAGCATTAGATGGAAGTGGGAAATTGATTTACTTTTTTCAGTTTGTTTTCCTTAACTTTGGAATTCTTAGAGCCCATTTACCAAACAGGTTCAAGTAGTTTGAACCAAAAAGTTCAATTCATCCCGCGTTTGGCAAATATTTTTTGACGGTTGGTTCAAACTATTGATTTGATGTTTAAACTAAAAAAACCTAAGGATTACGAGTTTATACTCCGCCATTTGTTTTCAATGTTTTGAACTAAAGACTCTGTCAGGGTTTGGTAGATTCAGAGAGTATGACGTGTTGAGAGTATGCACGTGTAAGCACTTGGTTCGTTGGTGGCAGTTCTAATGTGATCAAGATACTTAACGGGTTTTCGAAATTGATAACGATGATAAACTTCTGACAAAAATGTGAGGTCGGCTAGGCCTAAATTAGGCCTAAGAACACACATTCTAGGGCTCTCTTTGTTGCTAAATGACAAGAATACCCCTGAAAAAGTGTTAGGATAGCACATACGGGATCTCGTAAGTGAAGAATGTTTGGATAAACGATTAAATAGTTAATAAAGAGGTGACTCGAAGAGTTGGATAAGACTTAAGATGAAGCGATGCTCCAAGGGTAGTTGTAGGCTGCTTTGGAGGCTTTAAGTATGAAGACTTGTAGTTTGGATAAGGTTCTAATGGAGAAATATGATTATGAAAGTGGAGTAGTATGGAGCGAATGGTGCTGCTCCAAACGTGTTTGTTGATCGCACCAAGGTTGTTTTCCAGATAAGTTTTAAAGAAACTTAAAACACTCTTGAACGATCAAAGAAAATGGATTGAAATGAGTCCTTAAAGAGTTTCTGAAGAGGTCAACACTTAGAAAATGAGCAACTCTGTAAGATCTTGAAGAGAAATGAAGAAAACCACACAAAATGAGGAAGATTCAAACTAAGTGAGTACTTTTGGGACATAAGTAGTGAAGAAGTGTCTCAATTGTGGGAGAAGGTAGAGGCATTTAGACAGTTGCTTCATACACGTGTATGTTTTGTTTTGACAGAAGCCTGCACACCCAATACCGTTTAGAGCAAGGTCGTCAATTACCTTTCCAAGGTTGACAAAGAGATTCACCGAAAATGGAATGAAAGGCTCTAGAAACTTGCTCTTGGAGGGAGATCAACGGCACTCTGATAGAGCACTACACACACCATCCCATTTGGAGCAAATTCCCAACTAATTTTTAAGAGCTGACAAAAAGAAGTCATAAATAAAGAAAGACTTGGAGACAAAGTTTTAGATTTTGGGCTGATTTGGAGTGTTTCTAGGTCTGAAATTCTCAATGGTGCTTGACTCAACTTGTTGCTCTATTGACTTCGCTATATGGAGGTCTGATCACGTGTCATTCCTTGTCAGAGATTGTCTGTACAATAATGGCTAGGTAGCCATCACATTTGCTTTGACATCAGGTTGCAACCAACGCCAAGTTGTTCTAAATGTGCACGAGTGCTCCAAACGAGCGAACCTGTCGTGGATGAAGGTTGGAGAAAACATGCCTAACATGAAGGGTGCTCCGTTAGGCATGTTCAATAGCGAGGAAATCCTCTGGATGAGTCAAAAACGACAAGTTTTCAAACCCTTGGGCTGGCAGGAAATGTCTTAGGCATGGCACTTAGGTTTTGGGCCTTTTAAAAGGCTAAAATGAAGAATTTTGGACCTTCAAAGAGTAGAAAGAGCATTTTTAGGATTGAATTCTCCATCACTCATTCACATTTAACCCGATTAATTCTAAAAAGAAGTAATTACATAAAATGTATGCTTTTAAACATAGTTTTTAAAAATATCGGCCATTATACAATATTACATGAATGACAATTTGATTTTTGTAAGGCATATTTTTTTTCCTGTATTGCCCTTATTGGGTATTTTTGGTAATGCTCTTTATATGGTTAAATTTTATTTATTTGTAGACTGATTTTTCCTGATTGTAATTTAGATTTTTACTTTCCTTTCTTAACTTCAGTATGATTTTATGGTGTTTTTTTCCACCTTTTTTTACTCCTATCTCCGGTTCTGTGTTTCATGTTCATCTTTGGGAAGAGCAGCCATCGTATGTAGATTGATGGTTGTTGATTTGCGTTCATCACCTGGTTGCCCGGCTCTTTGCTACCCTCTGTATTTCATTGTTGCTCATCGGCTGGTAGATGCACTTTTTGTTGTTTATTTTACTGCTAATCCTTTTTGGTTTATTTGCTTGCCTTTTCATTATTGTTTGTCTTTGTTATTGTCGTTTATTTTACTTCTATTCGTTTTTGTTTATTTGCTTGCCTTTTCATTATTGTTTGTCTTTGTTATTGTCGTTTATTTTACTTCTATTCGTTTTTGTTTATTTGCTTGTGTTTATGTTATTTCTTTTGCTTGTGTTATTATTGTATGTCTTTGATATTGTTGTCTTTTTAGTGTAACTCGAATTTGGTCCAATAGCATTATCATTATAATAATGAAACAACTTATTTATAAATTCGTGTGTTGTTGTATGTTTATTGTTTGAGACATTTTGTAAAATTTTTATATTCAGTATGTTTCATAATGAAATCATCGTTAAAATAATGAAATATTTTTTGATGAGTTCATTTTCGTGTTTCTTTTTTATTATAATTTTTGTTTCATTATGAGCCGTCATAATTTTAAGAATAATTTACACTGTTGATTCCTTAACTATTTAATAGATGACACTTTGATCCCTCTTCTTTTAATTTTAACAAAACAACCCCTCAACTCTCAAGACGTCGGCAATTAAGTGCTTTCTGTCTATTTTTGTTAAGTTTTTAACAGAATGAATCATATGCAAAGCACATGATTTAATATTGGAGGGTAGTTTGGTAAAATAGCTAATAGTTTATGTTTGTTAAATGCTTAGGTAATGTTTGTTAATTTCAGATCGTGTCCTTTCAAAAAAAAAAATGTTTGTGTTCTTGTTTTCGCTTGATGATTATGGCTTTGAATTTGATAGATTAAGAAAAAAAAGTAATTTCTTGAGAAATTAAAGTTATTCCATATGAAGAGATAATAAAATTAAAGAAGAGTTTTTTATTTTTCAAAAAAAATTTAATTTTTTAGTTTGTCTCCTGCAAATATCAAAGCCCGCGGGTTTTATTTTTTATTTTTTAATAAAAAAATAAGAGTTTGAGCTTTGTTAGGGTGAGGGTATTTTAGTATTTTCACTAAAACAAAGGTCACGTGATTAATAACGTGCAAGAATCTGTTAAAAGTTTAACGAAATCTAACAGAAAGCGCTTAATTGTTTGAAAGTTGAGGAGTCATTTTTTCAAAATTAAAAGAAGAAGTACTAAAGTATCACCTACTAAAGAGTTAAATGATCAACAATGCAAATTATTGATTTTATGAATTTTTTTTTGTTTTTTCGTCCACTTAAAAAAACGTTTCTTTTGGATTTTCTACAAATTTTATTTTCATTATTCTTCAAAATAATGTTATCATTATAATAATAAAATAACTTTTTTATGAATTTGTGTATTCTTGTATATTTATTGTTTTTATAAATTTTTTATATTCAGTTTGTTTCATTAAAGTAATGAAACGTTTTTTATGAGTTCATTTTAGTGTTTCTTCCTTATTATAAATTTTGTTTCATTATGTTATGATAAAAAAAATTTACTGAAAACAAGAATTGATTTTGTACATTTTCGTGTTTTTTAGTCCACTCAAAAATACGTTTGTTCCGGTGCCTAACTCTACTGACTTTTTACAATCTTTTTATATTCAGTATGATTCATAATAATATCATCATTAAAATAATGAAATGTTTTTTTTTGAGTTTATTTTAGTGTTTCTTCTTTAATAGAAATTTTATTTCATTATGATCTGATCATCATTTTAGTGAAAATAAGTATTGATTTTATACATTTTTGTGTTTTTTCATCCACTCAAAAACCCATTTGTTTTGGTGTTTAATTTTGCCCGAATCATCTCAAACTTTATAGTAATTTTTTTCATAATTCTAGAATCATTACAATAATGAAACGATCTATTATGCGTTCATAACTACTTACATTGTTTGAGACTTGTTGCAATTTTTTTTTTTTTTTATATTTTCAGTGTGTTTTAAAATGATATCATCATTAAACTAATGGAAAGCCGATTGATGTGTACATTTTTGCGTTCTTTTCTATTATATATTCGGTTTTATAATGATATGATTATTAAATAATGAAAATATTGTTTAATTTTAGGGTGGAGTGACTCAATTTAGAGGAACTATTGAGGTTGCATACTTTTAAGGCTGAGATTTTTAAAAATATTTGGTGGATTTTCCTTCTTTTTCATAAAGAAACTTTCCCTTTCTTAAAATAATTAGATTATATTTTATTAAGTGCAATAATTTGACTTTTGTATTTTAAACTTCGAATGTTTTATATTCATATTTTGTTTAATTTTCTTTCCTATTTTGTTGTTTCATTATTTTATTTATTATATGAGGATAGAAATGTCTTTATATGTATGATAGTAGATAGTAGATAGTTTTGTAAATAAACAAGAAAGTAGGCATTTTTTAAAACAATGTACTCATAATTGGCATGTATCTAAATAACCCATCTTGCCAAAGTCACGACCTATGAGAGTTCCCCAAGCGTGGCTTGGGTCAACAGAAAGAGCCCAATTTCGTCATATGATGAAACTGTTTTGCAAGTACCCTTAAAGAAGCCTGGTATAAAGTCAGGTATCAATATATTCGAATCACCATTTTCAAACTTGCCATTTCAAACCATAAAAGTTCAAGCCACCACTTTTTAAACTTATATAACAAACGGGCCCTTAATTTATTTTTAAATGGCATTTAGATTTTTCTATTAGTCAAAGGTAGGGATTAAGCCTAAATTTAAAATATAAAAGTAGAAATGTGTAACAGTCTAAGGGCCTTAGACTTATTTTCAAACTTTCCCCAAAGTTATTTTTGGCTTTCTTGGTGCAAAAACTATTTTTAAAAGTGTTTAGATAAGGTTTACCGGTTCAAAAGAGTTTGAATCAAAGTCACAAAATATCACTTCTAAGAAAAGCTCTTTTGAAACTCTAAAAAAAGAAAAGCTCTTTTGAATGGATTTTAAAACTTACGTGAGAGTTTCGATAAGATATTATAAAATTCATTTAAAAATTTTTATGTTTTTTTTTATATATCTTTTTAACCTATTAAGCTTTTGTTTAATGTAGTTCCAAACACACACTAAAAGACAATTAGTTTTACTTCTCTTCTTCCCTAAAACTTTATTTATTTTTTATCATTTTGGTTCTCTTTTAAATTTTATATTAAAAATTTATAAGTTTTTAATTGTGTCTTATTTCTAAATCTTTATTTTAGGAAAAATTTATTGTGACGTGCATTTCCCACGTCTATGCCTTATTTATAATTTATAATTTGATTTTGTTGGATAATTTTAAAATGCGATTTTTTTCTTTTACCACTATTAACATAATTTCTTTTATATGTACCCATGCCTTTTATTTTTATTTTTTTATTTTCATTTTGTCAAAAATTCTCTACAATCTTTTTTAATGTACTTCTTTTAATTTTTTTCACCCAATGTTCTCATCGAAATATATTTTTTCAAATTACTTTTATTTAATTTTTCTTGGTTATCCTTATTATTTTAATAGTAATACTGATGAGATATTTGTGTTAGTTGTGTATTAACTATCATAGATCTTTTTTTTAGTATTACTAAGATCTTTATTATTAAATGAATTAAAAATGATAATAATGCTATAATCAAAACTTATGCAGTATGTCGAGTTTAAGAAGTATGTGTGTGTGTCTATATAAATATATATATATATATATATATATATAGAGTGCGAGAGAGAGGGATGCAACTCATTAAGGGCCCGTTTAGTTCGCTGATTCGAGTTTTTAATTCGGATTGAGATGTGACTTTATATGAGAATTTTTTACTGTAGTAAAAAAATTAGATATGACTGTTTTTGAGAGCTTTTTACTGTAACAAAACTCGAATTGATAAAGTGAATGGGGCCTAACTATTATTTGGAGCAAGAAAATTAATGTAGATGCAGCAGTGGGACGAGATGAGAGTTTTATTGTTCTTGGGCTTGTTATTCGTAACGAGGAGGGAGTGGTGTTAATGGCTGCTTCTAAACGAATTGAAGGAAGGTTTTCTCCATATGTTGCAGAGTGCTTGGCTATTCGAGAGGGGATCTACTTTGCTCTGAAAAGAGGTTTCCATAACTGGGTGCTTGAGTCAGACGCAAACAATGTTATTCGGATGATTCAACTTAGGGGTTATTCTTTTGTATTTTTGCGTCAGGTGATTTGAGTGATGATTTTGAATTGAGTTTGAGTTATAATTTGAGTTAAAATTATAACTTATATTTATGTTTAGATGTGCACATTTGAGTTATAATTTGAATTGAGAATCTTTTTGAGTTTGTATTTAGATGGGTCAAAACTTAAATTTATATTTATATAATATTTTAATAAAAACTTAATGGTAATGAAAAATTTTAATACGATATATGCGTGGGGTTTTATTCGTCTTTTTGTTGTAAATGCATAGAAAAAAATCATCTCAATCAGAATTAAAATAAAAAAGTTATGACATTTTTAAAAATAGAAAAAATATTGTTCATTAATTTGAATTTGAGTTTCTGAACTCGAGTTGAAGGAGAAATTTGAACTCGAGTTCAAATTCAAGTTCAAACTCGAATTTAAACTTAAATTTTACAAAAGAATATGAATTTAAATAAAATTGTAACTCGAGTTCAAACAAAAGAACAACCTCTTAAAGTTTCAAAATCTACCATCATTAGTGATATAAAATCTAATTTAAATTTAACATATTGTGGTTTTGTTTGTTATGTATCCCGTTCAAGAAATTATGTAGCCCACATATTAATATTTTTTGTGTTTTTTAATTTATCTCATAAGTTGTGATTAAATTGTAATTTGAGATTTATCAGTTATTTTGTCCAAACCAATTTAGTTTTTATAGAATAAAATGCTGCTTTTCACTTAAAAAAAGAGAAAAAAGAAAAGGATGCTTGAGCAGACACATATGGGCCAAAATTGGTGAAAAAAAATAAAAAATAAAAGAATAAAAGAGCCACTAAAAGTTAGGGATACACAACGCGTACTTCCTTTTGACGTATTCACCAATCACTTGTTACCGTTTGCACTTCGTATCCAATGGTAGCCAATTAGAAAACGACAACACCAATCAGCAATTGAAAATTAATTAGCAAAAAAATCAGGAATAGAAAATTCTTCAAGGTAAACCCCAAGATATCACAGGATCCAATGCACATATATTCTGTGTTCTCTTCTCTGCTTATTCTGCTCTGAGAGTGACAACCAAGTGATAAAACGTGGAGCCAATAGAATACTGAGACGATTCATTATTTAAGGGCATGGTCCAATTGGGAGATTCCATGTAATTTCTTCTGAAAACAACGAGATAATTGAAAAAAAAAAAATGGTTTTCATTGTATTAAAAACGAGTTTATTTTTTTCCTGATGAAGGAAAATAAAGGTCTGAACCCAAAAGTCATTTTCTCTCTAAAACAGACACACGCATATATTTATTTCCAAGTGTCTTGGTTCGAAAATTTGGTATTTATGAATTATATATAGTAATCCAAAAAATAGTGAAGGCAATGAATCAATGATGAGTTCAAAGCAAACTGTTGTGGACGAGACCGTTAACCAACCTTTGGTTTTTCCACACACACATTCTTAAGAGAGTTACCGTCCATCCTTCGAAGTCTTTAAAAGTAAAAAAAAAAAAAAAAAAAAGCAATATTATTCCCCTTCTCACATATTTCGTATATTTTGATTGTGAAAACAAACAAAGAAACAACATCGCCAAAAACGGTTGTGTAAAATAATTCTCTAGATGATTCTTTCGGTCAACTAAGGAACAATTCTTTGGAAATTGGAATCGGTTCGATGATATCGGTGACACTCGGGAAGTTGACATGGCTCAAAACAAACCTTCAATTCCTTGATGTTTAGCAAAAACCCAGATTGCGAATTCGGTTTTATATCAAGATTTCTGATTTGGGTATTGAATTTCGGCGATACCCAGAAGCTGATACAGCTCGCAACCTTCAATTCCTAGATGATTGGCAAAAACCCAGATTTTAGTTTTTGAATTCGTCAAGACTTCTGATTTGGATTTTGAGAGAGTCAAAAGTAACCGCTTTTCTGAACTGGGTCGTTCTTTGTTTGTTTCTCTCGAATGGGAGATATGAATTTCAGAAGCTTGGATGAGTTCTGGGCCTTTTATGTGACCCAACACTCCAAACCAGCGACACGGCGCTGGCATTTCGTGGCCACACTAAGCAGTATCTTCTTCTTGATATGTTCAATGTTGTTCAAGTGGTGGTTCTTATTGTGTGTGCCTTTCTCTGGCTATGGATTAGCCTGGTACAGCCATTTCTTCATAGAAGGCAACATTCCTGC